TATATGTATATGTATATGTATATATATATGTATGTATATATATGTATATGTATATATATATGTATATGTATATATATATGTATATGTACACAGCACATATAGTACATATACTGTGTACACAGTATATGTACACAGCTACTGTCTTCCTCAGTTGCTCTGCTTCCAGTACAGCTTGTTTTAAGTAGAGCTTTTATCCAATCAGAGTTCACCTCTGTGTCTCTAGGTAAGAACAGAGGCCTGAGGCCTGCAGACTCACAAGTGCAGCCATGTGCAGTTTAAGTGAATGGGGACGATATTGTTGATTGTCAGTGTTCAACCAATCAGATCTTTAGTTTGACATGTTGGGCGTATTCTTTGACGTACCAGAGCCTGCTAGCTGGCCTACAACTACGTCAGCATTAACATGCAGCTCAGTTTTCAGGTGCAGCGCTGCAGTAAGGTGCAGCGTGCGCTGTGATTGGTCAGTGGGCGAGCACGTGACTATTGGAAAATGAAACTTAATAGCCAGCAGAGCTTAGTCAGAGTAGTAACAATTCAAATTGAAAGATATGGAAGAAATTATGACATTTTTTGCATTTTGCTTTGTGTAGATTATTATTTTTTTACCTAGCTTTGTTTTTTTAACACTCAATGGCTGAAGGAGGAGAAACGGATTTGTGAGTTAGGATTTAACCGTGGGATGAAACTCTTTGTCAACAAAGAAAGGAGGATGGAGTTTGTCTTTAAATAGTGAACAGCAGCTCTGGTAAGTTAAATGCGTTTGTTTTTACATCTGCAGCAGCTTTAATATGCTTGTTTATATATTATTATTTGTACAACTTGTTTTTATGAAGATGGATTTTTGTTTGGTTTTATATGTGATAGGAACCATTGTTACGTCCAATGTTGCTCTGGGGACATATTTAGTAAAAAGTATAAAGTCTTTATTTTTTAAGCAAATAAAAGTATTGTCACATTACAAGGGTTACAAGGTTATTTATTGTCATAGCACAAAAGTGTTGTGCACCAAAACGCCCCAATTTGAGGCATCAGACAAACACAAAAAACAAAACAAACAATATTATATGTGGAGGGGGGGGGGGGGGGGGGGGGGGGGGGGGATTTAGGAGTAAGGAAAGACGCTCCTCTGAAGTCTGGTGGTGCGGCAGCTGTTTCTTCACTATCTCTTGCCAGATGTCAGCAGGGTGAACAGGCCATGGCTGTGGTTGGGTGTTGTCTTTTAATTAATATCCTCTGGGCTCTTTGCAGGCACCTCTTGTCACCAATATCGCTGATGCTCCATAGATGGGTACCAATGATGTTCTGCGGGGCCCTCCTGTCCTGTGCCGTGCACATCCCATCGCAGTTTGTAATGTTTCCACTCAGGATGCTCTCTACTTTGTAAGAGTTAACAAGAACTTGGCGCAGGAATTTCCCCATCTTCATTTTCCTTAAGAAATTTTCCCAGGATGGAGATGTGTGATGACCATGTCAGGTGGTCTGTAATGCCGATTCCCAGGAACTTAAAACTGTTCACTTGCTTCACCTCAGCTCCACTGATGTGAACAGAGGATCATGTGCTCACCTCCTTTCAAAGGGTCGAGCTAATCAAAAAAAACTACTACAACACAAGCTTGTTTCCTTAATACAACCTTTTTGGCTTGTGACCCGCCAAAATAAAGCAATGTCTACTTGTGATTCCTCGTCACTGGTTGGATTATCCAGTCGAATATTTTGTGTGAGGACATTTCTTTCTTCTTTTATATCCTGTATATCATCTCATAACCCCCCAGGTCAGGATCCACTGCCTGAGTCAACAACACAAAAACAACATTTAACTTGTACATATTAAAACACTAAAAGCACTCATACAGTGCCAACGCATCATCTGATGGTTGTCAATGTCATGTCTGTTTAGGCCAAAAGTACATTTCCACGCTTACAGACAAAGTATTTCATTGATTACCCCAATCTGTGTGGAAGGTTATAGAAGTTATATAAATGCTGGCAGCAGTTGTTAAAGCAGACTATGGACCATTTGCAAATAAACTGCACTGCATTTCATTTAAGGAACTGTGTGAAACTGTTAAATCAATCTGTCCCACTGGGGATCCAGAGATCTTGACCCCATGGAAACTCTGATCAGATATTTTGGGTGTTCCAAATTTTTGACCTGTGCTTGCATGTGTACTTTCAGAGTGCGACGTGGAACCTAAACAACACACACACACACACACACACACACACACACACACACACACACAGCAATAAAAGATGACAACAACACAGTTAATGTTGGGAACTTCGGACGCAAGTCAACGATCCTCCTGATATTTATTGGATCACATTAAAGCCACCGTAACTCTATAAATACTGACTGACAAGCTCAGTCAGTATCACAGTTGTCACAGATCTGGATCACTGAGGTAAGTCTCACAGCTTTTCTTAAACAGATGGTTGGTCTTGTAGTTTTTACTAAATGTGTAAAGAGTTTGATTAAAAGAAAAAGTCATGATGATTCATTGCATCTGTTGTTGTTTTTAAATCTTGAAATGAATGTTCAATGGGTGAAAATTGGAGCTTTCTGTAAGAAAACTACTGAATTTCCCAAAAACCTGAGTTTCATTTTAACCTTTTTATTATATGATATTCCAGTTATCGTCATGAGGGTCTTTGCAGTAATCTTTGTGCTGGCTGTCCTATCCGGTGAGTCCAAAATGTCTTCTTAGTGACACTTTTTATTTTGAAAGCACAGTCGACAGGCTTCATTTAGTGTGAGAGTTTGAAAGATCTCAGACTCTTTGTACTACTACCAGTACTACTGCTACTACTGCTACTACTACTACTACTACTAATAATAATACAAAGTATATAATAATATTACAAAGGAAGCAAAAGGAGCTATTACAGTGAATGACAGTCTGAACATGTGAGCAGTGGGCCATATGCAGGTCATCCAGTCTAAATATCTCAAATCTGTCTTTGGACTCCTCAGTGTCCATGTAGTCCAAATATGGGTCTCAGATTTGATCAAGTGGTTTGTCCTTCAGAGGTGAAGAGAAATCCTTAAATTAAATGACACTTATTTATATTTATTCAAAGAAAGTGTTTCATCCGTAGGGTCTGCCGTCTTGTTTTGTTTTCCCACTTCAAAGATTTGTCTGAAGCGAATATCTGAGTTTGTTCATCTCCGTCCAAAACGTACAGGCTGCCATGCCAGAAGCGTGCCTCAGGACGACTGGAAGAAACCCTGGGAGGAAGCGGTCGAGAAGATCAACAATTACTTCGCGGACCTGAACTCCAAGGCCGATGGAGTGGTGAAGGACATCAAGAGCTCGGAGATCAGCCGAGAACTGGAGTGAGTTCATTTCACAGCGACGGAAAGCTATCAGAGTGATGAATCGGTTTATTTGCACCTTTGACCTTTGTGTGAATATTTTATCCTGTGTGCGATAAATACCCATACCTGCTCTGATGGACTGCTGCAGGTCTTATTTGTCATGTTATTAGTGTTTTAATCTGCACCACTTTCTCAAGGAAACATTTCAAATCTATTCCAGGGTAGTAAAAATATCACACTCCACAACTAGACGTAAACGAGGACTTTTTCTCTTGATGGAGTATTTTTCAGATCGTGGTATTTCTATCTAAAATACCTCTAAACACTGTGACGAGGACCAAACATTATTTATCTGACTTTTTGCCTCCTTTGCCTGACCTGTTGGAGTGAGTTGGAAAACATCAGCTCAATGTTGTTTTCAGACCTCTGCTTGGTTACACAACACACATTGTGTCCCGAGTGCGAGGAGGTTCATAATCAGCTCGTGTCAGTGTGGTGACACATCTATGGTGCACCCTGGTCTCAAGTCCACGTCTCTGACTTCTCATGTGCACTTTTATTGGTTTAGTCCCAGCCACTATTGAATCTTCTCTCAACTCTTCAGTTAAAATCCTGAGAGTTTTGCATTGATTAATTGGACATGAGTTGGCTCAGTACAAACAGAGCTCCTATCTTACCTCTAATAAAGGCCTTTGCTTGCCCTTGACCCCCTTTGGTTCTAAAATATTTCACAAACACCACCAACAAATAATGAACCTCATCCGTCTCGCCCCCTGCCAACAGCACCCTGATCCAGGACAGCATGTCAGAGCTGGCCACGTACAGGGAGGACCTGCAGACCAAGCTGGCGCCCTTCACCCAGGACACTGCAGAGAACCTGGGCAGAGACCTGCAGAGGCTGACCAACAAACTGGGCGATCACATGAGCGAGGGCCGAGAGCAGATGGAGAAGTACGGCCAGGAGCTGCAGACCATGATGGAGCAGAACGCCGACGACGTCAGGGTCAGGGTCTCGGCCTACACCCGCAAACTGAAGAAGCGCCTCAACAAAGACACGGAGGACATCAAGAGGTGAGCGAGACCCACTGGAGCAGGGAGGCGTTTGATGGGGAACTCTGTCCAGATAGTTTCTCCAACCTTGACCAGCCAAACTTTTAATCTTTTCATTTCGTAGATGCTTCCCCAAATACTTTGTCCGAATCTGTGTTTTGATACTAAATCACGACTTCTGTGATAAATCTTACAGTGTGTTTGAATCTTTTTCTTCACTCTTTGTCCCAGACGTGTTGCTGACTTATTTGACGAGCTCCAATCCAGCACCTCGAACAACATGGAGGATGTGAGTGCACGTTTGGACCCTTACTTTGCTCAGGTGCGTGACAACGCCCAGGCCAAGATCTCCACCCTGAACAATCTGCTGGAGTCGCAGGTGGATAACATGAAGGACAAGATTCAGACCGCGGTCGAGGACATCAAGGAGCGCTTCGAGAAGACCGCCGAAGACCTGCGATCCACCCTGGACGACAAGATGGGGGAGCTGAAGAGCTGGTTTCAGCCTTTAGTCTCCATGTTCAGCAATAACATGTGAAACCTGTAATCAGTCTGTTTATCCATCACTTTCTGCATTAAAACCACCTCCAGAAAGTGTTTCATGATTAAAGATCTCTTTGTTTTATCACAAATGTCCAACACGGTCTGTATGTCTCAGTGTCACTGAAGGCCTTTAAATAAAAAATGTGTGCAGAAAATCAGTTGTCATCAGTAACGACACCAGATACACATGTGCCTCCATTGTTTACACATATTATATCATTACAAAACAATATGTAGAGAATATGAAATGGTGTGACTTTTGGGGTAAATATGCTGAAATCAACCCAGACTGCACTGCGTTTGTTTAATTTTCCTGCAAATAAAAAATGTATGCCATTACAATAATTTCAAAGATGCTAAAATAATTATAATAACAAAATATTTTATTAATATGGCACTGTCACTTGAGACAAAAAACAACTTGTTCACGTGCTCACACAGTGCACATTTAAACCCTATTTGAAGGTAAACTTGTTTTAATATACTCCATTTATGTGCATAATTCCAGATGGGGAACATTTTAAATTGCGTCTCCACGACTCTGAACATGGTGACGAGAAGGCTCTTAGCTATTGGTGCTAACAGCGCTAACAGTAAAAACTACGGCAAACGTGCTGACAGAGCTAACAGTGTTTACCCTTAGGGGAAACCAGTGGATGGGTGCCAGGCTTGAGCAATGAGGCTGTCGGTCGGGACGGCGTTACCAGCTGTAACCGCTGTATGAGAGCAGAGCTGTGGCCACAAGCTAGCCAGATGGTGCACGCTCATGTGCACGCTCATGTGCACTAAAAGCATAGACCACTGGCCTGGCAATGTAAGAAAGAACGGCAAAGCTCGGAGAACAACACACACACACAGAGAGAGAGAGAAGGCCTTCATTCTCCGCTCAGGTAGACATTACTCCATTATATCTTTACACAAACAATAGCTGTTAGCTGCTATATCAAAGCGCTGAATGTGGTTTATTAGTCCATTAAGCCACTATGTGTAGCTTTTGAAGATTTCTTTTTGACTTTGGGGTAAATGCGCTGAACGTCTTGAGAGCCGGACTGTGACTGTGTGGCTCCATGCCCTCTGACTCTTTGTTAAAACTGGACAGTGTTGCTGTTTTAGAAGATCAGTTGAGGATTTTGTGTTCTGGGTTTTGGGTCTTCTGTTTGTTATGTTTCAGGTAATTCATTCATGTTTAGTGTTTCCTGTTTCATTATGATACTCTTCACCTCCTTTGTTACAGAGAACATTAATTGTGTGTGATTGTCTGCTCTGCCCTGATTGTTTTCACCTGTCCCTCGTTACTGTCACCTGTCCCTCGTTACTGTCACCTGTCCCTCGTTACTGTCACCTGTCCCTCCTTACCTTGACCTGTCCTTCGTTACCGTCACCTGTCCCTCCTTACCATGACCTGTCCTTCGTTACCGTCACCTGTCCTTCGTTACTGTCACCTGTCCCTCCTTACCTTGACCTGTCCCTCGTTACTGTCATCTGTCCCTCGTTATCGCCCCCCTTTCCTCATATGTTTAGTCTCTGTGCTCCCTTCTCTTTGTGCTATTTCATCATTGTTCTTGGTACCTTGTGATTAGAGTTCCAGCCTGTTTTTCTGGTGTACCTGCCCACCTTTGGACTTTCAAGTTGTAAGCCTTTTTTTTCCTCTTCTAAATCTTCCCTGCTGCCTCCTTATCAATCCATCCGCGGTCTTATAGTTTATGGTCAAACTCTGCGGTCAAATTTCCTGACTGTCACATTGTGGTTGAAACAATGCCATAATACGCTACTCAAGTAAACTGCAGTGATAGTTAACTTTCAGTCAGTAAAAGTAGGCTAATGGTGTAAAAAACAGCACTCAGGGAAAATAACTTTTTTTTCATGACCACTATGGGATTTTTTATTTTGAAAAGGAGCATTCAAGTGAAAGTTTAGATCTTAATAACCAGAGTTCATGTACAATTTATATTTGCGGACCATTGTCAAATTCACACTATGCAGCTTTTTTGGATCATTCCAAGCAATCGTATCATTTAGTTTCGTCCATCATGAAAGTCAGACACGTCTCTTGAAACCTGCTTTTCATGGTGTCTTTTTTTTTTTGATTTTCATATCAACCCAATAGTTGTCTGGAACAGCAGAAAGAAACTCTTTAAATCTCTAAAATATAATAAGATGGTTTGGAAAATGGTGAGCAGTGGTGTAAAGTAGATGCAGTTTGTTTTTGTAAATTGGATAAACATGCAGAACTCCTGGTGTGGCTGTTTTTAAAGGCAACAGAAAGGGACTCAATGTGGCTTGTGTTGTGGATTTATGAGACCACAAAGTATTTTACTGTCACTGTTAAATCATGATCTGCAAACAGTCAGAGAAGTCATGAACTGGTTAGTAAAGCCGTTTGGTCCTCATGATTTCCTCTTCAGTGAGCGGCCATAGTGGAGCGGATATAGTCAGTAAACTGGCAGACATGTTGAGAATAAAATTAATGGAACTTTAAAAAACAAACATCAGGCTTGAGTTAAACATTGCTTTTCTTAACTCTGTAAAACAAAATGTGACAAATAAATACATAGATATAAAGAAACTGAATTATTTATTATAAAATAAAACGTACACCAGCAACTTGGAAAATATTCTTCAAAATGAAAATGAATTACAAGTCTAAACCTTTTTAAATGCAGCAAACAAATTGGCCACAATGAGGAATTAAAATTTCAGTACATCGTATATATATCTATATAT